TACTTACGCGGCTAATTTTTATTTCTTCTATTATTATCCTATCTTTTTGGCTTGATGTTTCTTTCTAGCTCTGTTGATTGTCAATTGCTAATTTGTTGTCTTCATGCGCCTACGATTTGTGTAAGAAAATGCCGTCTTTATTATTTGTAGTTGTGCACAATGAAGTTTTTCACATTGTGGTGGTTTTGTGAATTTTACTCGGATTTCAGTCCATTAACTTCCTTGTTAATGCTTCGATAATTTTTTACGGTTAAGGGAATATGATAGAATTCTACAGAACTTCCCCATTTGTTAGGATAAAGTGTTCGTTCTGGAAGTTTCAAAGGACCTCATTCAACTCCTTCAAGCTAGCCGCCTTTCCTTTTTTTTACTAAGCAATCTTTTTTACATATATCTCACATACATACACACCTTGTTTACATATATCTCATATACATATGTCTATATTTTATTGAATTTTATCGATTTACATATTTGATTCAACAAGTACTTGCTTTCAATATCAATGTTGGTCGGCGCGTTTCTTCTAGAGTATCTGAACCAGTAATTTTTTTTTGTTCTTTTTAAATTGCTCACCCTCGTAAATTTCCTTGTATTGCATTGCATTTCAGTGTTCTGAAGCCGAAATAATCGTGCAGAACTCGTTGTTCGCGCGTTTTTCAGTTGCTATATTTTCTGCTGTTGCATAGAACTCTTTTTGTTCCAGATCACGCTGACAGGAGTCAAGGGAGGCGAGGGATGAAAAACGCTCCACATCTTGAGGATCTTCACAGCAACTTCGACATTGCCGATTATCAAATAGTTGCTTATCTTTTTGGGTATTATTAGCTGTTCATCACGTTTTTCACTGCTGTTCAAGTTTTGTTTGCTGTTCATCACGCCTCAGAGGGGGCGTTGGTGAGCGCCGTCGGACGTCGGATGGGCGAGTCATCGCTCTTGACGAATGAGTGAGCAGTCGCTTGTCTATAACGACCTGCATTACTAAATATTTCTCCATTTTGTTTCTAACTGCTGGAAAGTCTCCAATTTTAGGAGGCAGCTCTGTCGAGAGGCATCCGAATTTGGTACGCCTTCTTGCGTCGGGTAAGAATCATTCCGAATGACATTTGGTATAAATAATCAACTAGGGAATGAAAATGGCTATAGCTCGACTCGCCTTTCTCTCTAAAATTCACAGTTTAGCTCCTTGTGTTGAGAATGCACGGCCGTTGACCTCTCAAACCGTAGACGCTCTCTCTAAAGACATCATGTGAGTGTGCTATTTTTGAAATTTCACGGAAAATATCAGTTAAATAAGGGCCCTAACTTATTCTTCCAGCCAGCACTGCTGCAGCTCAACCTACGCGTCGTCAGATGGTAAAGCTTTCTGGCGAACGCTTCCCTGCAATCCTGGAAAGTTCCAAGTACGGTAAACATCCAACGCTAAGATTCCCTATACCAGGTAAATAATCAGAATACTGAGAAGCAGCATTTGTTGCAATTTTGTGTATGTCATTTGTTCAAGGGCAGCCCATGCGCTATACGTTTGAGTATATGCGCACGGCCACGCAGGGCGAAGTGGTTTACCGCTGCAGGGGATGCAGGAAGAATTGGAAAACAACAAGCGTAGCGGTACGAAGCTTTACACTTAATGGAGTGGATGATTACGCGACCATTATATTACACGTCGTGAGCGAGCATTACCTCGTGGGGAACCCTGTTTTGCTTCCTCAGGTGTGCATACGACGCGGATGGTATATCAGGTGAGAGATGCTTACGCTTTGCATGCATGAGAATATGATCGTTCAAGGGTGTTCAGGCATTCCAGGATATTTCCAAGGATGCGCGTTATGCGTTATGCACACATGAGAGCAAAACAGGTCTACCAAAACATAGCTCAGCAGGCGGACCACAGTGAAGTCGCAGGTAGGTTACCCTTATGAAGCACTGGTGCTGTT